CGGTTAATTGTTAAAAATCAAAACTCTACAAATACTTGAGTCTGTTATGGTTTTAGTGAGGCACTTCAGTAATAAGAAAAAGAAAGCAATAAGAATCCTTATAGAAGTCCAACCCTAGCTAAGCAGTAGTACCTATACTAGTTCTAACCAATTTGTCATAATAAAAAAATGCAGATCAAAGCTAAGAGAACAAGCTAAACAGACCACCCCAATCTATCCTCCGTAACGCTCATACATTGTAGCCACAAAGAGCAACAAATGCATGATGATAAGTAACAATGAAATGGCAATCAGAAAAGCCCCAAGCCTTAGCCATTTTCTCTCCAAGGTTTTCAGGTAGCCTCCCTTGCAAGTGTAGCAGTTGTAGCACAATATACTCTCATTGTTATCCCACAAATTGCAATCTCTGTTCTCCTCTTCCGAACTGTCAGATGTCATATTCGTGGGACGCCTCCAATACGTCGCATTCACGTATTCCATCTTGCAGGCTGGCGGCGGTCTGCAACAACCCACCTGCAACAACAACGGACAGAGTTTGCAGACGATTACCGCTGGTGTATGTACAAATTCACAGACGGCTGTCATCCGTGGTGTGTAAGTTTCTAAGGTTTACAAGTTTCGAAAAGATGGTAAATAAAATGATCACCTGGGTGGATGATAGTTTGTGGGGTATGATATCATATGATTTGAGAAGATAAGATCTTTCGCGCAAATCCTTGCAAACTCTCGTCTCGTATATGCAAGTTTTGATGCGGGGCCAGCCATTGTCGTCCCGCATCTTGAACTTGAGCCAAGGAGGAGACCCAGGAATTTTCCTGGCCTCCGATTCGTAAGCACCGACAAGGCCAAGGCCAACCATTAGCATGATGATCAATGGTATCACGACAAGCAGAATCCCCGGAAACAGAACCCGCGGCGTGAAGTAAGTGACCAAGTTGCTGACAAGAAAGACGACGACAAGACCGACCACAATGGCATGTTGGAGTTTCGGGAGGCCTAACAGGCCCTCGCAGTCGTACTGTTGGGTGTATAACAGATATACGACGGCGAACATGATTGATAGAGACATGATGAATGTTATAATGGTTAGTAAAAGGACAATGCATTTCCTGTGCAGTACTGTGGTGGCTTTGGTGGATTGTTGAAGAAGAAGAAGAGGAGGATCTTTTTTTTGGATTGTTGTCGTGGTCTCATCGTGTTCCGGCAGCACCTGTTCTGTTTCCTCGGGAAGGTTTTGATGAGTTGTATCTTCAGGCATGATTGGAACTGGTTAAGAGGATGATAAATGCTTACAATAACACTAATGTTTTGTGTTGTGTGTGTGTGTGTCTATATATATATATATATATATATATATATATATATATATATATATATATATATATATATGCAACTAGATGAATGTGGCAGTGGGTTGTTAGGAGTGATAGGTACTCAGTCTTCAATTTCACCTTCTGCGGAGTGATTTTCTATCAGGAAAGATTCTTTATATATCCTATTATTTCTCAGGGAAGGAGCTGAACAAGGACTGTTAGTTAAACAAACAACTTGAACGATATACTCCCTACCGGAAAAAAAAACTTTACCTTTGATTTTTTTAGTCAAATTTTACACTTTTTTACCATGAAAAAATATATATAGTTAGTATAATTTAAATATCATTGGATGTATTTTGAAATATAATCTAGATATATCAAATTTTTATAAAATCTATTTATGTAGGTACAAATATAATAGTATATGTAATTGATTATCAAAGTGTTGCCTTAAACATTATGAAAAGCCCAATAGAGAGACAGGAGGGAGTATGTATGTGTGTGTGTCTATATATATATATATATATATATATATATATATATATATATACCCTAAGTTCCTAATTAATCCATATACTTCACTTTTCAAGATTAATACTCCCTCCGTCCCGGAGTATTCGTCCGGTTTTGACTTTTGGAACTATTCATCTAAGCACTTTGATTCATCAAATTCTCTCAATGTGTAAGCCTAAATATAGTCATGTGTGATCTTGTTTGATTTGTCTTAACATATAGATTATTAATATATAATTTCTATAATTTTTTAATATACAAATTACAAGATAAAATGGATTAAAAAAGTGTATTCGATGATATGTAAAAATAAAAGTGGACAAATACTCTGGGACGGAGGTAGTATTTAATTAATTTGTTTATCTAATTTCATTACTCATTGTCATCTTGTTTTATAGAACTTATTACATTAGTACTCTCTAACTTTGAAAAGAGAAAAGTAATAAAAAGGAGTAAAACATATGAAAATAACAAAATAGGACTAGTACTCTTTTTGTAACATAAACAAGACCAGTACTCTGCCGCAGATCACCAGAGCTCTGTCGCCCGACGCCGGTCACTACATTGACCATCTTTGACCTGTGGCACACTGTTATTATTTATACTATTATATTACCATCCTATTATCATCATTTACACTTCCAAACTTCAATTTCGAGGATAAAAACAATGCGCTCATATTTTGGCATTTTGATGGCAATTTACTTTTATTTAGAGAAATTTTTTTTTGATATATATATATATATATATATATATATATATATATATCACATTTTTGTATGAATTTAATTAAGAACAAATTCAGTCAACCATTGATTCCTTAAAATCCCAATTAATGGGAATGGTGGAACTCCTTAGTAGTATATATATTAGTGAAATTTACACTGAATAGGACTAAAAATAAGTCATTTCCCAATGTAGGACTTAAACTTTTTTATTCCCTAAATAGGACTTAATAATGATTAGTTAGAAGAATAATGTCCAAGTAATGCTGGACATTTAGTTCAATAATGACTAATAGATAATAATGATCAAAGGTCCTATATTGAGAAATAAAATATATGATTCTATATTTAGAAATTCATTATGTTTTACTCTCTCTATCCCAATTTAAATTATATATTTCGATTTACGATTTTTGATTAAAGTTATATTCAAATGATTTTATATGAAAAATAGTGTAGGATTAAAAAAAATTAGATATTTAAACAATAAATCAAAAGATCTACAAAACTAGGAGTGACATGAGTACCTTATTTTCTCAAATGATTAACAAAAAAGAAAACGAGCAAATACACTTTGACCATGTGAATAGTAAATATGCAACTTAATTTGAATAATAATATATGCACGCACTCATAACCTAAAAAAAATAAAATACTGATTGAAATTATTTTCTCTTAAATTAATTTAGTAATTGTTGTACAGTTTAATAACAAATGTGCATATTGAAAAATAATCCTAACAGCATAAAAAAATTAAAGAGAATAGATGATGACATAGCAGTATTGTTTTATCAGTTAAATAATGAGAATAGAGAAATTAAAATAGTAAAATTTGACTTTGTACATAAGAATTTTTTTAACAAGCATAGAGTGTGCCCTTCCTTCATTTATATTATTAAATAAGAATGATGCTTCAAAAAAATAAGAAAAAAAGTGGTGCTAGAGACCTTGTGGTTGCATCATCTTCTCATTAAATAACAATGAGATCAAAGACCACTTTACATTTGATCCTCTCATTTTTAGTCCGGCCAGTTCTGAGGGAGTTCTCGGAGTCTCGGGATGTGGTTCATCCTTTTTCTCAAAACGAATGCATATGTTAATGATATGTGTCATTTTATATGTTCGTCCGTTATATAAAAAAGTTTCACATTTCCTTTTTTATTCGAGAAATTTGGGGTTCTTATAATTTCACTCTCCTATGTATCACTTTCAGTCACACAATTTTATTTTTCTTAATCTTCATGCTACTCCATCCGTCCTAAAATGTTCTTCCCGTTTCTGTTTACGAGGTCCGATCGACTTTATTTTCAATTTAGTTTAATTGATTGTATGTGTAAAATTAAAAAAAATCATATATTTAAAGATACCTCAAAAAGTCTACAAAACAAGAGGTGACAAGACTATATTATTTTATCAAATAACAAATGAAAATAGTAAAAAAAAGTGATTACAATTTGACCAGATAAATAGTAACTAAACAACGTTTTAGGACAAAAGGAGTAATTTAAAAGTGAAATCTTTTCATGAGAGGGGGGGAGAGTAGGATATTCAGTGTCATTTTGTGATTAGCTTTTTTGATATCAGAGACATTATTTCCTCAACATTTTCCTTCCTTATACTCCGTTTGATTCAAGAAAATCTAGAAGGAAAAAAGATGATTTTCTTCTCTGCCTTCTCAATTTCTTTTTCTACAACAATCCTTTTTTTCTTTTTCTCTCTAACCAAGAATGAAAAATTGTTTTCTATCCCATTATCTTTTCTTTTCTTTTCTCTCAATGACGTGCTCATTACAGTGCAATTTTTCAGTCCACACGGCACACCTCGGTACATTTCTTTTTTTTGGCAAGAACGGATCCGTGCCTCATAAACGACCGTTACAACGGGTCTACCTGCATGTCACAAAATTCTTGTGTTCGAAGTGGTGACACGGAACGCACTGTTCCAAAATCCATGCCAACACATGACCGTTTGAAATGCCAAATAGTGAAAGTTTTCTATATAAAACATTATCCTTGTTTTGCAATATAAAGTGGTTTTTCTTGTTTTGCCAAAGTTTAGTTAATTGTCGTTGAGTCAATGTAGAGACTCGTCAATCTCTACTTGGGAAAAGTGGTTGTTGGCGGGAACGGGGGGGGGGGGGGGGGGGNAAATAGAAAATGCTCGTTGTAAAAGAGGAGTGTCACACAATGTGAAAGTCTAATGCTCCCTTTGCCCAAATTGGATTGTCCACTTTCTCAAAAAACTCATTTTCATGAAATGAATTGAAAGTGTCACATAAGTCTTTGGAATGAATTTGCAACTCACTCACAGTATGTTTATAACCTCTAGGGCATTTTAGACTATTCATAAAAATTTCTTTATTGAATATGGGAAAGTGGACAAGTGATTTAGGACAAACAAAACAAGAAATGAAGAACTAAATCCTGACGGAGAGAGTATTTACTGCACATATGTGTGGTCTGTATTGAATGATTCCGAACGTTACAACGGGTCTACCTGCTGAACCAAACAATTTCAATAAACGGGTCTACCATTTACTTGGGTTTTACAAACTAACTTGCTGAACCAAACAATTTCAATAATGATTCCGATAGCTATGGCGCACCCAATAACAGTGGGCTTTCAAACACTTTCTTTCGTTGCACTTTGATAGGCTTCGGACTCATCACCGGCAGAACTGACCACATAGCCCTTGAATCTGAGATGTACTTGGGTTTGGCAATTGATATGTTCTGGTTCTGTTGCTGTTTGAGCAAGTTATTCGAAGCTCGTTGCCAAATTGCTCTGACTAAAATAGTAAAATTGAGATTATGTGCCTATTAGATGCTTAGATCTTGCTCAAAGATTCTAATTTTGTGTTTAAAACAGTTTATATGCCTGCTCTGTTTGGAGTTTCTTAAAGTTTCCATAAATAAAAAAATCTATGGGCATAAAAATCTCTTGTTGTTTCACTGTTTCTCGTATAAGACTGCATTCATTTATTAGAAAAGAAGGAGAGAGTTGGAGTTGCATACCAGGCAGGAAATAGGTTCTGTGTTGCAGCTCCACTTCGAAGTAGGAACACAACTCAAATAGTGACACCAAGAACAATGCTCATTCAAGTCCACTCCATGAAGAAGCATGACAATGCATGTGGTTAAGCTATTAAGGATGAAGATACTTTAAGAAATAAGTTTTGATTTTCTTTGCTAGAAAATTCCAGATGGGTCTTGCGACCTAACGGCTAACATTAAAACAACATTTGAGGGGCATACCCAATAATCAGAAGGATAAGAGAAGAACCCCAGAGAACCAATTGATACACCTTGAATTTCGGTTTAGGCGTTGAAGAATATGTGGAAGGGGCAGCATACCTCTGGCTAACCCATCCAAAGTGGGGGCGAATAAGGAACACAAACCCAAGAAAGAAACCAGATAGAAACCCTCCAATATGAGCAAAGTTGTCAACGTGTGGCAGAATTCCCACTGCTAAATTGACAGCAATGATGATCAGCAGTGTGACCAAAACCCCGAACTGGAAAATACGTCAAAAGAGATTACTATATCAGGTTTTAAAGACAATGAGAAACATAATTAACATAACAGTCTTCCTAATAACTTCAATATACCTTGTTTGCATAGATAGTCCAGTTAATGAAAAGCTCGGAAAGCATGCTCCCCAATAATCCAAAAAGAGCACCAGAAGCACCAACAGATATGTTGGATTTTATAAAAAGTGCGGATAACAAGCTTCCACCAACACCAGATATGATATAGAGCAGTCCAATGCGCACTAGAATACATTGCAGGAAACTGTGAGGGAATAAAACATAAATGATTCACAAACCAAACGAGCATCATCAGTCAAATGAACAAAGTATATCTCCAGCAAGGCAGGAACAATGGTCTTAGAACTTCAACCTGCTTATTAAAAGAATGATGTTTGTACTGCATACCATATCCAAATTCTCGTTCTAGCTGAATGCCAATAGCTAAAAGACTCAACATGTTGGCCAGTAAATGAAAAATCCCACCATGCAACCAAATGCAAGTGATAAGGCACCAGACCTGATGTTTATGGACCACCTTACTCACATCCAATGCACCCATCTTCTGTAACCTAAACCAAAAGTCCAAAACTATCATTTAAGTCCTCGAAATCACTCCACTGTGTTGGCATTCAGTGTTGACATATATGAGAAAGTCATAGAGAAAAGGAGGGGTCAAGATTGCCAAAAGGTATATGCCTTGGCGCTGAAGGCATTGTACTTGATTTCATAATATTCCATAGAAGATACGTACTGGACAAAACTTGGATAATACGTAGTATCACATTTCAGAATCACTGCTGAAAAACACAAATCCATTCTTATTAATCAGCTGCAGAAAGGAGCAGAACATGATCATTGATGAATCTTTACAAGTAAAATTGGAGAAAGCCCGTGCTGCACCATAATATTGAAACCTAAATCGAAATTCATTCTTATATTGAATCTTTACGAGGCTCTTTCGAAACCAATGCTACCTGTTTTCATTGAATTCCAGGGAGGGATAGCTTATAGTCTAGAAGTTAAACGCAACGTCCTAAAAGAGCTCGAGGAGACCCCGGTAAACTAGAACCTAGCATGCTTAATTGCGGGATTGATTGAGACCTATGACGGTCTTAGCCGGGATAAATCATAGGCTGCCAGAGAAGGCATTGCGCCAAAGGTGGGGCATAAGCTGGAAAGATATAAACACACACAAAGATATATACCAATACTGAACTTGATAAGTGAAATTGAGATGAAAGAAGAAAGAAGCTCACGTGTTAGAAGAAGGTCCGAGAAGAGGATTCTCTCTGAAGGGCTGAAAAGAGAACCTCCCCAAGAAACGAGCAACGCAGGAGACGGAATTCTGGGGACAATCGTTCAAATACATGGTGATCACGAACATGACAACATTTGCAATAATGAATGAAGGAATCAGCCAGGGAAACCATTTCCGGAAATGGTTGATTTCTCCGTAGTATATCCGAGTGGCCGCGTGAAGGGCCGGCGTTTCCGCCTCAACCGGATTAAAATTGTTGCCGCCCGGCGGCGAATGGACCCGAATTAGGGCTTGCTCAGGCGGCGGCGTATCATTTCCGGCCATCTAAAGAACTAGCTGCGTTAGTCGTCGTGCTAAAGTTTCGGAGGGGGAGACGTGGAAGAACGCGTTTGCGGCTATTTGTAGTTTTGTACATAAAATTACTTCTACCCAAAGATATGAATAGCCCTTATATTTTTTATCTTGTAGAAAAATTTTCATAGTCCGGGTATTATGTTCTACTCGTTTTCATTATATTTATTTTTTATATCAGATAAACAATTCTCAATTTTTGAAAAAAACTCTTACATAAGGAATTGAAAAAAAAATTATCAAAAAGAAAAATAAATGGAAAAAAATAAGAAAAATACATTTTTTGAGGGTCATTAGTGAAATAGTGGACATAATGTCTCGTCTTAGATGTAAGGTCCTCTTATATATTTTTGAAAAATGCAAAGACCTACGAGGTCTTATATGCGCAACGACTTACGAGTTATTTCAACAAAACTCGCACCACTTGATAGTAGCTACCAGTCTACCACTGAAAACCAAAAGCAACCCCACCTTCCCAAAAACTAAGAGATTCGAATTCTCTACTCCCCAGATTTGTTTTGTTGACTACTGAGAAAGTGAGGATGTGTTTGGCATTGATTAATTTGTGGTAGATTGATTTTCACAAAAATTGAAAACGTTATATGAGAGTGCCGGGATTGTTCAATTTTTAGAAAAATTAACTATTTTATCCGCATAATCTAAAAACAACTCAGAGTAGTTTCTCACTTTCTTTTTTTATCTCTAAAAAAGTCATGAATTATGGTGTTGCAAACACTTCAAAGTGATTCTATTCAAAGTAGAAGTTTGAAATCATTTTTAAAAGCACTAATATGTACGAAATGATGATGAAGAGACTAGAAGTTAACATGCGAAACGGAGTAGAACGACTATCACCTAAAGTAGATGTTAAATTTTAAGAAGCACTACAGCGTAAAACGACCTCTAATAATTCCATTACAAAAATATACTCTCTCCATCCCACAAAATCTTTTCAGTTTTGACTTTTAAAGGATTTAAGGGGAGTGTATTTTGATGTTGACTTTCCAAAAATGTCCTTGGATGTGATGGATAAAAATAAGATATGATGGAAAGATTAATAATGAAAAAGTGTGATTTGATATGTTAGTTAAGAATTAGTATGGGTAAATTAGACTTTTTAGTAGAAATGAATTTTTTTTGGAGCGATGAAAAAAGAAAGGGAAAAGTTTTTGTGTGACGGAGGGAGTATTTGTTTATCAGGGCACTTCCCGTGCAGCCTCCCTAATGCAGTTTGCAGTCTTAACCCACATCTCATTTGCATATCCAGAAGAATCTCATGCACCTTTCTTTTGATATTGATAACAGATATTGATACAAAAATATTTTATTAGATTTATTATATAAAATATTTTTTAAATATTATTATATCTAATTAATATACAATATATATTTTACTTAAGTATAGGTCAAAGATTAAAAACAATTGACTGAAAAAAGTTAAATCTGGACAAATACTCAAGGATGGAGGTAGTACATTGTTATTTGTTTCGTTCTATTTTTCTTTATTGAAAATTTTTCCTATTATAAATGCATTTATTTTCAAGTGTGTTTAGATTAATATTTGAATTTATATTTACAAAAATATTTTTACAAAACAAAAAGAATAAAAAAATGGTCAAGTCTCATCAAACACCATGCCATTACACACTCACAAGTGATGAAGACTTGATGCGACGAACAAGCCACATAACACCTACGTGGTCAAATCCCTCCTCACTTTATAACTTGATGATAAGACCTGACCTTAGAACGACTTTAAAACAATATTCAATTTGAAAAGTCTATCTATACACCATGATTGTACACCATATAAAAGCCCACCCCACCCCCTAATTGTCTTTTCAGTCCCCCACCCCCCACGCCTTCCTCTTCTTTCTACCTCCCTCCCCCTTTGCCTTCAACGTCTTCACACCATTTCTGCCTTCGTCGCCTTCACAATCGCCCTAGCTCCTTCATCGTCTACACTATCGCTCTCCTTCATCGTCTTCGGCTGAGCTCTCCCTCTACACAAAATATCATCCCTCCACAAGTTATTCAAATTCAGGAGGTAAGTTGTTTAAAATATAGGGTTATAATTGTTTTTTGGGCAAATGATTTTCAAAATACAAATTTTTGCCCAAATTGATTTATCAGTTTACTAAATTTTGGAGAAAATATTGCAGAAGCAATTTCGTTATTCAAAATCTATGGTTCTAAGTGTATTTTCCCCTCCCCGAAATTTTGTTATGTTTTTAATATCTTGGGATTTAAGTGGATTTTTTTAACGAAAAGAGTTGTGTGCTGAAGACCTGCGTGAATAATTATAGGCTATTATCTTTTGAAGTGTATGTATAATTGTATAGTGTTCCTCGTTGTATATGAAGAGCCATTTGTTGTTTCTTCCTGTTTTTTGTTATCTGTGAGCCACCTCTTACCTCCTACATGGGCGGATCTACATGTATGAATACGGGTTAGTTGTCCCCAATCAATTTTTTTACTCCATAATATAAAGTATTAAAATATTTTTTTATAGTGAATTAAAAGAACGACCCTGGTAAAAAATTAATTTGCCCAAAATATTTGAAATATCATAATTATATTATGTTATAATATATTTTTTTTATACTTTAGAAATAATTTTTTTATTTGAATACTTGTTTGAAATTAAATTTATTTTTTTTCATTATCAAACCCTTTAAAAGAATCAGGAACGCCACCCATGAACCCCACCATACTCTTTAGTGTGTATTTACCCCCAATCATATTTTTTCTACATCCCCCAGTGACCCCCTATGTTGTATAAACTATGATACGTGTGAACTAAAGCATGTAATCTGTGAAGTATATATAAATGGTTCCTCTGTGTCTGTGAAGTATGTATAAACAGTTCCTCTGTCTGTGTGAAGTCCTAATTAATCATTCATCATTGTCTGTGAAGACATGTTCTTTTTCATGATTCTTGTTGTTTGTGAGACACCTCCTATCCCCCGTTTTCTAGTAATATAATTATCTTTTGTTATTTCAGGTTTATTCACAATGTTCATACTAATTCATCCAAATCAGCATATGAGATTTTTTCTTTAATACACACTTTTTATTTCAATATTAGGGTTTTTGTTTGTAATGTCAGAATTAATCGCTCAAGCCTTCTTTTTTGTTGTGAAGCTAGCCTTTTTTTGTGAATCCTTTTTTAAAATTGTTCTGCATTTTTCTTAAATGCTTTTTATTGGCTTGTTACAATTAATGTACTAGATGTTGATTTGATTGGTTTTCCCGCACTGATGAGGTTAAGACTTGCACAGATCCTTGTGATCTTTGTTCTGTTTTACAGACGCTTTATGTCTGTTATATTTAAATACAGATATGAAATGTTTGTGAGTGTTTTTTGTCTTGTGTATTGTGTAACACCCCAACCCGCATAACCCGAATACTCGGATCAACGAACCGGGTTGCTACTAAATTGGTATCCAAACACCATTTAACTTTTCAAAGCAATTTAAATAACATTTCAAAACATAATTCAATATCCATTGGAGTAATAATCAAAACGGTTGCAGAAGCTTAATTCGTAATTCAAAACACAACTTGGGAATCATGCCCGAAATAGTAATAAGTTATCAAGTACTCCCTCCGTCCGGATTTTAAGTTCCCGGTTTGACTTTTGCTCATTTTTAGTGAGTGTTGACTAAGGCTATAAAATGACAAGAATGCCCTTACTAAAAAAAGAAGAAAAAGAAAGCCACATGCAGTATAAAGAAGTGAACAATACGGAGTACTTTTACTGCTTCCAAAACAGTAGGCAAGTATGGGTTGATTACATCATATCTTCATTACATTACCAAATCATCCAAAAAACATTCCAATTCCCTCCTATTTTTAGAAAACTACCCGCCCAAACATTCCCAAAATTTTTAAAATAACCTTTCCTCTTGCAGTCCTATAAAAGCTCCCTCCCATTTTCTTATTTAGCAGGTTTTTTTCTTGAATATATGTTCTTTATTTTCTTGTTGCTGTCCTTGCACTATCTTCGGGCTGCGCTTCATTTCCTTCGGGCTACTGTCGTTGCACGTTTCTTCGGGGCGTTGTTCTTGAACTCTCTTCGGGCTGCTCTTCACTTTCTTCGGGATGTTGTCCTTGCACGTTTCCTCGGCCTGCTGTCCTTGAACACTCTTCGGGCTGCTATCCTTGCACGTTTCTCCGGGCTGCGGTCCTTGAACTCTCTTCGGGCTGCTGTCCTTGCATCTGTGCTCTTCATCTTCTTCTGTTTTGCTGGAAATTGCACTTCTTGGAGCCCTGCAAACACACATGAATACGAAGAGGTTGGAGAACACAACGAGGCAGGTAATCAGTGACACATTACTAGCACATTCAAAGCAAAATCCGAATGGTTCATACTCAGCTTAGTATGGGCATATCAACAAACTTGCTGCACAGTTTAATGTATCTAGAAAAATAGTGAGCAAGATATGGGCAATTGCAAAGAAAGAAATAGAGCAGGGGGTTGCCATCGATGTGAGGAGTCGAATGGTAAGAAAGAAGGGCAGGAAAAGGACAGTGATGGATGCACATGCTATTGCAGACATTCCACTCAGGAAGAGGACTAATGTCAGATCTTTAGCTGCTGCAATTGGCAAGCCTAAGTCAACCGTGCATGAATGAATTAAAAAAGGTATGGTGAGGAGCCATTCTAATGCAATGAAACCCTTCTTAACTGATGCCAATAAAATATCAAGGTTGAGGTTCTGTTTAGATCAAGTAGACCCTTACAGCATGCCCATCCACCCCTAGTTTAAAAGTTTTCACAATGTTTTACACATTGATGAAAAGTGGTTTTACATGTCTAAAACTTCCCAAAAATTTTACCTACTTTCAGATGAAATTGACCCACACAGAACATGTAAATCCAAAACGTTCATAACTAAAGTCATGTTTTTGTGTGTGGTTGGGAGACCACTATTTGCTGAGAGTGGAGAAGTATTGTGGGATGGAAAAATTGGCATTTTCCATTTCACAGAAACAGTTCAAGCTCAGAAGAAGAGTAAAAACAGAGCAAAAGAGGTGTTGGAGGTGAATCCAATCACTAGTGTTACCAAGCAAGTGACAAAGGATATGCTGATCAAACATGTCATTCCATGTATCCAAGAAAAATGGCCAGCACAATTATCTAAAGACGTACACATTCAGCAAGATAATGCAAGGCCACACATTCAAGGACTGGACTCTGACTTTATGGCAGCAGGTAACACAAATGGATTTCACATCACTCTAAATAATCAACCCCCCAACTCACCAGATTTAAATGTCCTGGACCTTGGGTTTTTTAGAGCCATCCAGTCTTTAAAAGAACAGTGTGCTCCAATCAGTGTTCCAGAGTTATTAGAGGCAGTTCAAAGAGCATATAATGCCCTCAATCCAGAAACCTTGAACAAGGTTTGGTTGACATACCAGCAGGTGTTGACTAAGGTAATGGAACATGAAGGAAGTAACAATTACAGATTACCACATATGGGGAAAGATAGACTTGCCAGAGAAGGAAATCTTCCTAAGTCTTTGAGCATAGACCTGGACCTTATTCAGAAGACAGCAAGATTTGTTGGACAACAGAATGGAGGTAGAAATGAAGGAATGGTTGAGTTCAACACTGAAGAGGGAGATGACTACCTATCTTCAGACTTGAACTAAACACACACTTCTTTTTGGGTTTCAGTGTATGTAAGTGGTTGCCACTGTGGGTTTTTGGAGAGTGGTTACCACATTATGTTTTGTGGCTTTATGTGTTTGTAAATGGTAGCCACAAAAAATTTTTGGGTTTGGGTTTTTGGGTTTTGGGTCTCACATCAAGGCAACTGCACACAATCTACTCTATATGTAACATATGTATAATGAAATATAACTGCCATCATATGCTTATCACTTTTTTATAACTGCCACTTCATCATTGCTGGTCTAGATTCATTATTCTCATACATTCATCACAGTAAATGGTCACATAAGGTCTTACAAACAACATAGGGACAGAAACAGTAGTGTACAGATAGGACACCCAGAGGCTGAGTAAGACCACATAGAAGGTGTAAAACCCTCACTACTCAGAGACATCCTTAAATGGATACATTCTCATCACAGTAGGCATCATTGTTCTCAGACATTCATCACAGAAAGTAGTCACAAACAGTCTTGCAAACATTAGAGGGACAGATAACATAGTGTACACTTTGGACAATCAAAGGCAGAGTAAGACCACATAGGAGGACTAATACCCTCACTAATGGATACATTCTCATCACAGTAGGCATATTATTCTCAGACATTCATCACATAGTGTTAATTAAGGACCCTTTTAATGGAAAGCCACATGTAGAATAAAGAAATGAACAATATGGAGTCCTGTTACTGTTTCCAAAACAAGGGAAGAGCAGGGGCAGTAATTGAATCATCCAAACTCACATAATCTATAATTATTCCAGTAATGTAGAAATAATTGAAGTATAGGAAGGTTAAACGAACTTCCCTACTTGTACTTTGAAGCCCAAAAGTCTGGATCTGGGCTTGGAAGTAAGATGTTTAGCATATCAATGTGAAGGTGCATGCGTGAGTACATGGGTTGAGAAGAATCAAACCCAGCTCTCTCAAACTCCCCCATCTCGTCACCCTCCTGCCTCCCTTCAACAAAATTACAATCTTCTTGAGATTGAATGTTGATAAAACACTGCATTTCTCTGATCGGGGCAGGATCGGCACTATCATCTTCACTATCGATGACGATGACCTCATCTTCGCTATGGATTGCGATAACCTCCTCCACCTCGCTGTCATCAGAGATTAAATCTTCGACCTCACCCCAACTATCTTGAAATTCCGTCTCCAGAATGATAGAATCCAAGAAATAGTCATGCGGATCCATTAGATGTGGGCAGAGATCTAGGGTTTTAGGAGAAGAGGGAGAAAGAATTGGGCAGAATGGATCTGGGAAGGAGAGGAGGTGTGAGTTAAAGCAGGAGGGTATAATGAATGCGGGTAGGAGGATTGGGCAAGAAGGGCGAATTAATGAGAGGGGTATTTTAGGAAAAGTGGGTTAGAAAATGTATACTGGGAACTTTATTTCTGGACGGAGAAAAGCGTTGAGTGGGAACTTAAAATCCGGACGAAGGGAGTAATTAATAAGAGTTCAAAATCATCGAACACTGCCACACACATTTCAGCCTCCTCATCGTCCTCTGGGATTGGCTCCAAGTTTATCATTCCCTGGATTAACTACGTGTAGCAAATAGGAAAAAGGACTACACGCTCAGCATTGAAGCGAAGTGAGAAATATCTAACATACAGCTATACCCATAGATGATCCCACTAGCTCATATCTTCATACAATATCATGTACACAACATGCTCAACACAATCATATCAGCACATAGGATACATCATATATAACAGTAACATCATCATTCAAGAGATACAGTATTCAGGATATAATAACAGGTTCTTTCCTCTTGGTTTACTTTACTTTCTTTCTATACTTGGCTTTTAGCCTATGCTAGTGATAACTCGGTTTTGGGTTAGTTCTTTTTATTCTTTTTAGGCATTTTTAATATTTTTAGTGTTTAATTTTTAGTTGTTTAGCTTAGTTTTATTTTAATTTCTATTTGTAGAATCTTTTAATTTTCTTTCAAAAATAGTAGCTTTTTAATCATTTTTTTACTGTTTACATTTTATTTTATTTTTTCTAACCCAAGTTATCAGATATCTTATTTTTCGGAGAAAAAGGTAGCAAAAGACCGAATTGGGGTTCAAGTTTGAAAAGAGGAGATTAATTTTGGGCCAGGCCCAAAGCCCATCATTACATCACCAAAGGAAGAATAGCCCAACTCATTCCCCTTTCTTATTTTGTCCAGCGCAAGAAAAAAAATGTCGCCTTCTCCTTCATCGCGAAATAGGCGGACCAGAGCTCCAACTTTCACGACAATCAATTCTCCAACGAGAAGAATCTTCATGCTATAAATTGGGGGGGAGAATCACATAGAATAAGGAGCAACTGCAATTGACGCCACCAGAGAAGAAAGCAGACGGTGGCCGACCACGGGCTCGCCAGCGTTCGACAATGGTCGGTGGTGATAGGTGAGGCGGTCCCTTCAAGCTCCAATTTCTTCAATTTCATCATCTTCTTCAACAAATTGGTAACCCTATAGGTTATTTCTTCAATTTTTCTCCAATTCTTTGTAAAGTGTTGTTTTTAGTTTAATTTTTACATTTTTGTTTGTTTGTTTCTGGTAATTTTGAAAAAAATCCAAAATAGTTGGTGTTCTTTTATGAGTTTTTTAATGTTTATATTAAATCCCTTGTGAATGGGAATTGATTCATATTAGTTTTCTTCAATTATTGTGCAAATTGTTGTTGAATTGGTTGAATCGCACCGTTTGATTTCATAAGTAGGTTGGTATGTCGAATTTGGTTTTCATTGAAGCTATTTTAGCTTCATATTATAGTTAAATAATTTCCGAATTCATACGTGATTCTTTGTTGTGTAATGTGTTTTGTAAAATTTTAACGTTTATGGACTTCTTAGCCCCATACGTTGGACATTTTCCTTAAGATTCGTTATTCAGTGATTGTTTTGTCGTGTGTTTGTTCGTTATATTCATAAAATTTAAAGTTGTTTAAGCACAAAAACAATTTTTAAGTTAATGTTTTTTTATGTGAATAGACGAGAATTCTTATGCTTAAGTTGTTCAAGGAGACTAGCAAAATATTTTCATCATTAGACGTTAAAGTTTATTAAAGTGTATAAAATGTTCATCATGGATAATTTATGCATGGGAGTTAGAATGAAAGAAAGATTTGTTCTTTTATAAACTTTTTCATCATTTGAAATCATTGTTTGAGCGCTTGAGGTGAGTGGGGGTTCAAAGTGATCCAAAAGACCTTTGAATTCTTGACTTCGGGCCTTATGGAGAGTTGACGATCCTCTATATGTGGTCAAGGATATGATTCAACTCGAGCCTTTGAATTCTTTTCTATTTTTAAGTGCGTAAGTTACGTAATATATTGTCTAAGTGCCTATTATACGTGTAATGTTCGTTTTATGTTCGTTCTCTTTTTAATTTTGTCTCGGGTTTTTGGCGGTGTTTCTTGGGTTACCTAAGTTGGAAAAGTTGATTATCTTTTGAGCTTGTCTCCCCCATTTTATAAAAAAACCAAAAAAGTAAGAAAAATATAAAAACCAAAAAATATTTACTTTTCATCAACCCCCTTTTGTGTTATATTACCAAAAGTTTTTATTTACTAAGTTTATCTATAAGTATAAGTTATAAATATAAGTTTTTATACTTTATTTACTTTTATATACTTTAGTATTTGTTATTAGTTTATAAGTTATATTATAAGTTCTTTGTTTATATAAGTTATTTATAAGTTATTATATTTATTAAGTTATAAGTTTTATTATATGTGTAGTAGTTAGTTTGTTTTATTTAGTGACAATGTGTGTGCATGCTAATTTGATTTCAAAAGTACAAACTTTCTTCGTGGGATCGACTCTTACTTGCCCTAGCTATAGTTTTTATTTGATTATATTTTGGATGTTAGTCAAAGACATTTATAAATTTTTAATTTGTTTTGGACCGCATGACGGGTCTTCAACAGCTAGGTTAAAGCTTAACTGTATACGACTTGCCTATGAGAGTCATGACCTTTCCCTTCAGAACGAAGTTCAAGCTCAAACCAACTCGGGAGTTCCTCGTTGGATGGGTGAGATCCCTGTCCCCTTCGGAACGACATTTCTTAGATCTTCGTGTACACATTTTTACCCGAACAACCATTGAACCCATCAGGTACCACATGACTCTAACTTACTAATTTATGACATAACTTGCCAGCAATCCATTCAGGTCAGCTCCTATAGTTCATTCTAAGTATTTCATCTTTAATTATCAATGATTCACCACATACATATTCAAGCTTCATGCAACATCATTCATCGCACCCAACATACTCAAATAGCGGCCTAACTTTGGGTGTTGACACCCATGTTTACCGTCATGCAACACACAAGGTCTTGGAATCGATCCTCGACGCAACACGGAAATTTTAAGTTGGTTCAGGTACCTCACAGTACCCTTTGCGGTAGGGTCTACCGACCCCACGGTACCAGGGTACCGTCCCCACGGTATGTGGGTACCGTCCGTGTCATCTGGAGTACCCCACCGGTAGGCTGTCACGGTAGCCTCTACTGACCCGGCGGTAGGGCCTACTGCCCACCCGGTACCTAGGTATCGTTTGGTGACAGGTACCGGCAGAGCGAGGTGAAAACGTGGAAGCTGGCGGTAGCCAGGTACCGTGCCAACGGTACCTACCTACCATCTGTCGCGGCGAACACCAGATTTGCACCAATTCCGTTTTAACCCATTAAATAACATCAATTTCAGAAAAGACAAGCTTAAACAGGTTCTAAATCATTAATCAAACATTATCTAGCAATCCCTTAACAATTTTAAACCCATTCATGCTTTTCAAACCGTAAACGACATAAACAAGGCCCTACTGATAAGTAGTTTTGGCCAGCTTATAAGCATAGAAAAACACTACTTAGTTGACATATGCATTGAAAACTAATACATTTATATATGTTTCATTGATTATATTCATGTATAAGTGAATTCTTTGTAACTAGTTAAATATATTCATTTATGTTATCCATTCATTGTATACAATAAACCATTACACGCATCAATTCATTGGAATTACTTAAATACAAATGTTTAGTTTAATTATGAGAAATGCTAGATTCACAAATATATTTATTCTTGATAAATGAAACCTACACCAGTACTAATTTGCTATTAGTCCGTATTAATTTAGAGTTTCGTTAGGACCTAATATTTATAAAGGGATTTTCCAAAAAAAACAGTATTATCTTGTTATCTTTTGATGATTTTTTACAAAGGCCCAAGCCACGGAATATTTTATTATTTTGGAGAGTTAATTAATTTATAAAGTATTACTCCATCCGTCTTAAAATTATCTTTCTAGTTACCATTCATACTGTCAAATTTTATTCACTTTCTTTGCTTATTTTTATTAGTTATTTAATAAAATAATATAGTCATGTCAGTATGTCACCTCTAATTTTGTAGAACTTTTGATGTAGTTACTATACGGAGTATAACTTTTTTTAAAATTTGACGCCTATAATATAATAAATTGAATTGAAATTAAAGTTCGCCAAACCCTAATGAGAAGTTAATTTTAAGACAGATATTTTATTGAAGTTTTGTTGTAGATTTGTGCCATCGTGAATCCATATATAAAATGTGGACCATATTTATTTATGAGCTGGTAGTTAGATTTCTTTCGTCTTACAAAACCCAATTCATTTAACCATATTATGTCTCAAGACCTAAGGACCACAGAAAAATTTCCCTTACTCTTCCCCAATTCTTCATATGTTCTCATAGAGTCGTCAGAGATAGACCACAGACCCTACTTTTAACTCTGAAATAAGGAAATGTAAAATGCTGAAGAATCCCACCCATGGACTGATATTCTCAATACACCAAAGAAACAATAACACAAGCAGCAACTTCTAAGAGGATGCGCATCAGAACATGAAACAACAATAGTTAAATAGGAAGTGTAGCATCTTAGCTTTGTTTAGTACCCAAGTGGAGGGGCTTGACAAATAACTTCCAAACAATATTGAGGCCCCCAGCCACCATGGGTGGTATCTCAGCTATAAAATGCAGCAGCTTCCTTCCCACTGAGTTTTGAGTAAAAATCACAGTCCAACGATTCCCATTCTTGTTCGGACATAAATGGAAACACATTAGAATCGGGTGGTGATTTGGGAAAAAAGAGCCTTGAAATCTTTGGTGGGTGTTCCAGTTCCCTCCGGTTTTGAGGACAAATCAAATGCCTTGAATTTTGATTCCTCAAATTGCAGTGCCTGCCAAAATAAAACCAAAAGCGCATATAAAATATAGACCTTTAAATGGATAGGGAAGTTGTAACAGTAACAATGCCATATGAAATTATGAACAGTTACCTGGATGCAGACTTCAGCAACATCAGCCCTGGCGATGGTTCTGGTCTCTGTCTTAAGAAGTTCATCATCTTTTCCGATGAGCAGTTCACGAACACCGCCATCTCTATCTTGCAAGCCCCCAGCTCTGAAGATTCATAAATGGCACCAAATTTATAAATCCATGTGACTGGAATGAATTAAATGTAACGATAAATGAATGCAAAGATTTGTAAACATCAGAAACCCAATTCCATTGAGAATTTTGAATAAATAATAGCAACACAACCTAGGATGATCCCAGCTCCGTTGGGGGCATGGAGGGTCAAAATGTAACAGTCTTACTCGTATACAAATAGAGAGGCTGTTTCTGTTAGGACCCTAGATGCATTGCCGCATATACTACCCAAAACTTCAAAGAATGTAAGAAGCAAGGAAGTTTAATGTTCCATTTTGATTTAGTTCATTACGTGTCCGAAACTAAAACATTATCAATAATGACATTTTTTAGCTACATTGGCAATGGACTGATTGGCATAAATAATAGCATGAACCTGAGATTAGAGAAATCAGAAACTAGTCTGGTTGGGAAGTATATCTTGATGATGACATACCTTATAATGGTATATGGGATTCCAGACTCAGCCAAATACTCTTCAGCTTTTCTCTTCCAAATCTGCAGCAATTTTAGTTAGAATTTCTGGATCAATACATTTGATTCAAAGAAAAATTGCCACCTGAGAAAGTTGTTAGGAGAGGACAAATAGATCCTAACAACTAACAAGTACTCCTGTCTGGACTCTGGAAACTTCCAACGAACAATAAATTGAGAAGAAAATGAACATGAGAAACAAAACTTTATGTTTAATACAGTGATCGTGCCTCCATGCCAAGCACGGAGGTCTGGTAATTGAAATACTGATGTAGCCATCATTCAACACCAAAAGTACTACATTTGGACGTTATATGCGGTCTTGTAAATCTTCTCTTAACAATGACTTCCCAATAGGCATGTGAAGAAGGATTGAAGAAGTGAGGAAATAAAGACAAAATAAATGCATGGAAATAAGGCACACACAATGGTAAATTATTTATAAAGGAAGGTAACATATAAAGGAAGGGGTAAGCTAACCAATATGTTCCCGTTTCCTATGCTGTTTAGTGGGTTGCTAGGATCTGTTCCCCCCATTGATCCAACAAGAACAATGTGCTTCACCCCTGCATCCTTGGCTGGAAATTGATAACATATTGGTCAACAACCTTATTCAAAAGACCCATCAAGCTAAATATCAGAAGAGATACCACAGCCCTCACCAGCATCAATTTGATTCTTTTGACCAATCCAGTCAACCTACAAACACACAAATTATTTGATAGGTGACAAGAAAATACCAAGTATGGACCATTTTATTAGCAGTGTAGTTCACCTGTTCAGGGAACTGCCCATCTTCAAAGTAGAACTCCGGCCTTTTACCTGCAGTTGGATCAAAACCAGGTTTCATCTTTGGCACGGCACTTGTAAGAATTATTAGAGCATCAATTCCCTGTACCGCAGGAACAATGCTCTCAGCATTCTTGATATCTCCTATATAAACGTCATCTTCACCACCAATTTCGTTCTTGCTCTCTTCAGTTCTCACAAAACCTCTTGCGATATACTGGTTAGTCCTCTCCTTAAACTCTTTGTAAGCAATTTGTCCTGTGAGGAACACCGACCCGTGTTAATAAGTACCTTTTGGAACACTGGATTCTTAAATACCAACTGTTTCTGCATAGTTCATGACTTCACGCATGATCAAAAGACACTCTATTGACCACGTCACGTTGTTGCAGTGTTTAAACAAAGAATTTAATGAACATTCTTCACCTAGTTTCAGTTTATACCCTTAGTAGCACAAAAAAGTAAGTATTGGCACAAAAAGGCAGAGAAGCACTGGTAAAAGGTTACATAGTGTGAATCACTTAGCTGCTTCAAACAGTTATTCTAACATATAGTGATCTACACGATCATATTGGAGATTCATTTCATAAGAAATAGCAGATGCCCTTTTAATAACATAGTAAAATGGCAAACAAAATTGCCCAATACCAATGAAACACAAAACTATAGTAGAGTAAGAGAAAGAAGAAAATGTATGCACAAAAATATTTTTTAAAAAAAATCTCAAAATGCACAAATCAATTCAACAAAACACACGGATTAAAAAATGCCCTCAAGAACCCTTTAAAAATAGCCTCAGTAACTAATGAACAGATATGTCTCTGTCCTAATTGTTGAGGCTTAATGGCATCGAACGAAACTCATTTGAGGACAATCCTCCTAATAAGGTCGGAGTACCAGAAATTGAAGGATAAGAACGGATAATGTAGGCAGAAATACAAAGGGGGAGTAAAAATGGATCCAGATCTCACCGGTTCTACCACCAGCTCCGGTAACAAGAACGGTGGTTTTGGCGTCGGCCATGGCCAAGACAGAGAATCTGCAGAAGCGGCGATTTCTGCTAGGGGGTGGTGGAGTTAGAGTTAGACAGAAGCGGTGGCGAGAAGAAGAGGCCTCTGGGAGTCCCTTATTTAGTGTTGTCGGTGTGCCCAATTGCCAACCACATTTGCGGCTCGTTGATGGAGCCGCTGTAGGGAAACGTGAGAAGAAGGTAGCCATTTCTCTTTACTTACGTCGTCGGTATGGCAATTTCTGGACAGGAGTCATAGCTCACAGTGGGGTTTTAGGAATTGTAACCACAACATTAAAACCGAAATATGCAATGGCCTAACATCAACCACTAAACAACCAAATGGCCTATCCTTCAAAAATAAAATAAAAATGAAACGTCTCAAGTCTCAACAAAGTACTCGTAAAAAACAGACGAGAACAGGACTGGGTTGGGAAAACCACACACTTAGGGCTGTTTGTTTCAGCCTTGATGGGTGTATTTCACTCATGACCGGTCAGAGGTCAGAGCCAGATAGTTGACCGGTCAAAGAGGTCAAACTTGAGAGAAAGATCCATATCGTCGGCAAAGAGACGACGGGTCGACCGCAAAGTTGACCGGTATACTTCGGATAGTATACCGGTCAAATTACTCAAGCTTGTGGAATCAATTTCCGAAGTCCATTAATCAACCCACGATGATGAGCCGGGGTAGTTTTTCAAGGTCCAACGCGACAAGGGAGGTGATTCCCCTCACAAGGCGACAGGGCAGCTCGAGGACGAAACCAGTCACCTCGCACCCCATCAGCAGCGTGCCCCCACGTGGGCGCACGTGGTCCTGTCCCCCGAGCTTAGTATATATACCTCTTGTGACCCTCAAAGAAGGGGAGTCGAATTCATTCTCTCTAAACTCCCTTGTAAAAGCACCCGTGCATTCTCCGTTACAATATAAATTGGGCTACAGGTGTTACACCTAAAGTCCTACCGGTCAATCTGCGTGTTTTTACCTTTCTTACTTTGCCAAATCAAGCAAACTATTGTAGACCCGGTCTAGTATAGTTTGACCGGTCAAGTAATTTACACCATCAAGCCTCTTAATGGTTCAGATGTCTGAATAGTTTAGCACTTAATGGTTCAGACTGTTTGTTTCAGCCTCTTAATGGTTCAGATGTCTGAATAGTTCAGACATTTGCCTCTAAATGCTTAAGTATTATATAGAGTCTGAATGGTTAAAACCTCTTGTCTAAATTGATCAGACATTTGCCTCTGAATAATTAAGCAATATACTAGCTCTTAATGGTTCAAACCTCTTACTCGTTCAGCACTTAATGGTTCAGACCTCTTACTGGTTCAGCACTTACCTATTCAGAAGTTGCCAAACAGCCCCTTAGGGGGTGTATTGAATAAGGATTCTTATTCATTTAAATAGAAATCAGTGGAATTTGAAAGTTTAGGTGTATTCAATTGTAACTTTTTAAAATCTATAAAAATCTGGGTGTATTCATTTAGGATTTTAAAAAGTCATTATAAATTTAACGAAAGTCTAGCCGTATTCAAAATAGACTTTTAAAATTGAAAAAAAATTAGAGATATTCAAAATAATATTAAATCCATGGATTTAATAAAATCGTTCATATATGAAGATATTTTACTCCAGGATATAAATACTCTTTCTCCATTATTTTCTTCAGGCACGAGCAAGTATTACTTTTTTTACGCAAGAACCCTAGGTCCCGTCAAAGCCTCATCATCCCCGAAGCTTAAAATCGTCCAGAACTACCTTAGGGATGGGGACACCGTCGGGAGCGGTGGGAGACGCCCCGGAACCGTCGGCGATGCACAGGATTCACAGATGAAGCTTGGCAAGCCGGAAACCCAAAGCAGGGGACGTAGTTACGGAGTATTTTTTTCCTTTTGTGCGTATTAGTGGCCGATTAGGGTTAGGCAATGACTCCATTGAGAATTAGGATTTTAAATTTTATTTTTCCTCTATATATATATATATATATATATATATATATATATATATATATATATATATATATATTTCCAATTTGAAAATTGTACCAAAAAACCCCAATTTGCAAATACGTACTCCCTCCGTCCTTAAATAGATTATAATTTTTTTCTCCTCTCGATAACTTTTGTTTGCTTACGCGATTTTATTAAGTATTTGATAAAATAAAATATTCTTGTCACCTCTTGTTTTGTAGAACTTTTGACGTAGTTTTTTAATATGTAATCTTTATATCTTATTGATATACCAATTTATAAATAAAATGATTTCAAAAAGTAGGAAATTTTTCTTCGTAACCCGCAATTTGTAATCTATTTAGGGACAGAGGAAGTAGTATTTATTATTTGTAATACTATTTTTTATCAAACAAATTATTAACATTAACAATGAAAAGTTTAAAAATATGGATTTGAACTATTTTTTTGTTAAATTCTAAAAAATTTCATTATGCTAATTAGTTTTTTTACATTTTTAATTCTATATTTAGTACTTTATTATTTTATTTTTGGTATCCTCGCCGCCCCCGCATCCTTTAATTTTTAAAAATGTTGTTTTCTGACCCCGTTCCCGCCTCCGCATATGTACCCGCACTCGGCCAAGTGCAGCCTATGCAGGAAGAAGAAGAAGAAGCATCGTCTCTTATGTCACCTTTTTTTTCTTCAGTCAAACCATAATATTTTTTCACAAGCCAAGAAAGAAAGGAGATTCTGAAACCCCTTATTGAGTTTTTTCGATTAATCAAAAAATCTGATTATATATTTGTTTTTTTCAAATTATTTATTTCTTGTATTTGTAATTCAATTAATATAAAATTTATTTTGTTATTAATATAAAAATATAATATTTATTTAATTTAAAATTAAAAGTAATCTTATTTGAGTGCAAAAACTAATGCTGGACGAACATACTTGAATGGTGGAAGTGAAATCTATAAAATTATTCAAATAAAAGTCCATAGACTTGTTAAAATCCATAGAAATTATTTATATAAAATCAATGACTTTTAAAATATCAATAAAAGTCTACGACTTTCAACACAAGTCCATTGACATGAATAGAAGTCAATGATTTTAAAAATATGAATCCAATTCCTTATACAATACACCCCCCTTAGAGAATTTATCTGCTCCCTTCGTTCTTATTTAGATTTGGAAATGAGAATTACGATATAAAATTTTATAATTTTTTAAATCATTTTATTTACATTATTGGTACATCAAGAAGAAAAAAGTTACATTTTAAAAAATTACATACAAAGTTCTACAAAAAAAAGTGGCAAGAATATTTTTTACTTTATCAAATAATCAACGAAAAAACATAAGTCAACAAAAATTATCAAGAGGAGAGAGAAAATAAAATTCTAATCATAATGAGGACGGATGGAGTACTAAAATATAGTGATGTTCTCAATCTGGTATCATATATTTTTATAGAAATCATCCTAAATAGAACTAAAACATAGAGAAAAGTACCAAAATAGGACTTTAATGTTTTTTTCCCGGAATAGGACTTTGCACTGTGGTAATGTGACTTTGCATTGTGGTAATGTGGCAGTGTACATGCGCAAATTACTATACTCTTTTGGTAATGTATATGACCATGTTTGGTAATGTAAGTCCTATTTCGGGAATAAAAACATGGAAGTCCTATTTTGATATATTTTTAAGGTTTTAGTCCTACTTTGGTTTTCTCCCATATTTTTATTTTTCAATATAATACCACTGTCTAATATCGACTAGTCATTGTATAAATAAATATCCACTACCACTGAACATTGTTTAAACTAAATGTCTACTATCACTGGACATTATTCCCACCACTAGATATTTTTAAGCACTATTTATGGGGGAAAAAGTTTAGGTACTATATTGGGAAAAGACATATGTTTTAACATTATTTAGTGCAAATTTCACCAAATCTAATCGAAAAATAAATTAAAAAAATCAAAACCTAAAAAAATCAAAACCAAAAAACTCAAAACGGTACTTTTTATTGAACACTAATAACTCCAATATAATGTAGTATCTGTTCATACATTCTCAACTCATTAAGCATGTAAAACTATTACCTCATTTTCCCCCAATATACTCCCACCCACCTTTACATGCAACCTCCCAACCAACTTCTCTCACTCCTTAGCTCTCTCTACTCTCTCTTCTCATAATGTTTTCATCCTCGTTTTGCTCGATCAGAACCCATATTTTGCTGTGGGTACTAAAATTATGATATTGAATCTCAAGTATCATAAAGAGAGGTACAAAGTATATATAGATCTAGTTATCAAACTAATTACATAACAACCCAAAACTAATACAACTTATATATTTTGTCTAACATCCTTCCTCAAACAGGGTATACTAGAAGCTGAAGAATGAATATTTTCTATTGAATTATTATGAGAGATTACATGTGTATATATACAAAGATTTCCTATGACAATAGGAAACAATAATTAATACACCCTATACAAATATGGTAGCCATCGATATACATTAATATTAAATATAGTAAGAATATATTTAACATGCTCCCAACGGCACTAATGAAGATCGCCGCACGCCCACACAATCTCGAAACTCGGAGAAGACCATGGAGGGTAGTCCCTTGGTGAAGATGTCTGCGTACTGTAGGGAAAAAGGCACATGAAGAACTCGTATCTGACCAAGGGCTACTCTATCACGCACAAAGTGAATGTCAACCTCAATATGCTTTGTGCGCGCTGATGCTTGACAGGATTGGGAGAAAGATAGACAGCACTGATGTTATCACAGAAGACCAGTGTAGAGCGTGTTAGAGGTTGCCGAAGTTCTAGAAGAAGATTGCATACCCAACTGACTTCAGCGACGGCATTAGCGACAACTCGAAATTCTACTTCAGCACTAGACCGAGAGGTGGTGAGTTGGCGCTTAGAGGACCAAGAGATGAGATTGTCGCCGAGAAAAATGCAGTAACCAGATGTCGACCGGCGAGTATCTGGGCAGCCAACCCAATCAGCATCGAAATATGCCCACATATGATCCGTTTGAGAAGGTGATATGGTAATGCCATGGGTAGGTGTACTGTGTAGATAGCGCAGAACATGCTTCATGGCTGTGACATGTGGCACACGAGGATCATGAAGAAATAGACATAGTTGCTATACGGCATAGGTAATATCTGGGCGGGTGAAGGTGAGGTATTGCAGTGCTCCCACAATAGAGCAATATAGAGAGGGATCTGGAAAGGGAGGGCCAACTGTGGCTGAAAGTTTCCCGCAGGTGTCCACGGGTGTGGAAACAGGTTTGCACGAGGTCATGCCGGCCCGTTCGAGGATGTCATAGATGAACTGAGTCTGAGTGAGGAACAGGCCGTGAGAGGTCCGCTGGACATTGATCCCAAAAAAGAAGTGAAGGTCACCCATATCTGCCATAGCAAACTCCCCTTTTAGCCGTCTGGATGAAGCTGTGAGGACAATATTGTCAACATAAAGCAGAAGTAGAGATATGTCCTGTCCGCCCTGTAGACAAACAAGGAGATGTTGCTCTTACACCCATTGAAGCCAAGAGAAAGGACAAATCCCGTGAATCGCTGGTACCAAGATCGGGGTGCTTGTTTGAGTCCATAGAGTGCCTTATTTAATTTGCAGACATAATGTGGGCGAGCAGGGTCCTGAAATCCTAAAGGCTGGGCGGTATAAACAGTATCTGAGAGGTAGCCTTGCAAGAAAGCATTTTTGACGTCAAACTGGTGGATCGGCCATCCTCTGGACACGACAAGGCTTAGGACGATGCGGATAGTGGCCGGTTTGACAACCAGGCTAAAGGTCTCGTCGTAGTCAATGCCATGGCATTGATTGAACCCACGAACAACCCATCGAGCTTTGTACCTGGACAGTTTCCCTGTTGGGCCAAGTTTGTGGCGGAAAAGCCATTTCCTAGAGATTACATTTTGGTCAGGGGAGGGGGGTACAAGATCCCATGTATGATTAGCTATCAAGGCATTATATTCATTAAGCATAGCATTGTACCAGTTAGGATCTTTGAGAGCACTACGGTAGGTAGGGGGTATGGGGGAGATGGATGCAATGGTGTTTAGGTTTAGGATTTGTTTGGGACAAAAGATGTCGGCCTTGGCTCAGGTGACCATAGGATGAGAGGGGGCTATCGGGTTTTG